AAAACTGGATGTCAACCAGGCGGTCAGGAATTCTGTGATTTTCCTACCCAAGCAGTTATATGACTAACGACGGCAGCGCAGTCAAGGAGGCAGCTGCACGCACATCAAAGACTCAAGTAGCGTACAGTGGATTGAAAAACCTTTGACAATGTGTTGTAGCTCGGGATGCGGACGTTGATGCTGCCTAACTTGGCTACGAAACGTCTGCGAACAACACTTCCACCTTGGAGAAGTCACCAACACCTTTGATACTGATATGAAGCTTCATTGAGGTTAAAGGGCCATACAGATTGTCTTGGAGCGATCAGCTCTGCCTTACATGTGCGAGTAGAAGAGGTCGATCAACTAGAGGATTTTGAAAATCACTGTTTGCATAGTTTGGTGGGGTGGTGGTGGCGCAGGGGTTTAGTCGCTGTCAATGGCGTGCTTTAGACCCCATGGTCCGAGGTTCGAGCCCAACCTATCGGGGCCTTATGTGGTTTACCACTCCAAGTCCCGGGGCTTAGGTTACAGGTTTCCATCACTGAACAGCAGGTCCTCGTGGTTATAGGATTCCACCCCGTCTGCTGTTCATCACACGAAAGTGTGTAATAAAAAAGGCAGGAGGGGATTCGCGGATTAGTAATCCTGATGTAAACTATCTCCGTTAGGTATGTCCCAGTGAAAAGTTTATCACATCGACGTCGAATAAGTAAGTTGCTGGTAATGCGCATTTCCAATAGTCCTCCACTACACAGCCTTGTTTGCAAGCCCACCTTGCACAGAACAGTTTTGTGTAAACTGGGGAGTTTGGCATCTAACAGTGAGGTTTGCTCATTGTAAAATGGCTCACAGCAACATCAATCCTACGGTACATGATCATTACTTGATCCACTGCTTTAATTTCTAGTGGCTGTGTAGCAGGTTTCAGAATTTAAGAAGTTGATACCTCCAAATGCATTGTTCACACGCTCTACGGAATTTCATGGTAATGTGGGCATGGAAAGCATCCACTCCCACAAACAAGATATATGCGGATTTGCAGTTCGTACAGTTTAACCACAATAGTTAATTTAGTAAACCTAACCAGCAAATGGTGGATAATTAGGTTTTATATGAATCGGTTTTGATACACGTAAAACCTACTTGCATTCATTTACACACAATGTGTAACAGACTACGGTAAGCATCACATGAAGCGCTTTTAGCTAACTTTTGTTACAGTTCAGTTACACCTCAAACCTATACTATTGGATCTAGGATGGCAGCTTACAGAATAGGAGTAGCTTATCTAAAAGTGAAGGTAATTATTTCACAACGCAGCAATCAAGGGGGAAATGAATTTCATGCTTTGACGAACCTACAGTACGGTAATCACACTAGTTATTTTATGTCAAGACTAATAATGTGGTGACCCATATTACATCACAATGAACGAACTACTTGGTGCCAGTACATCGATAAGATTTGGACCTCAGACTTCATGAACCGATGCATGCCATATTTAAGTGCTTAAACAGCTTTCCATCGCCTTTTAAAACCGTTCTATTGATGAATAATTCTAACTTCTTAAAGTAAGCTTCTCCCGGTGAATGAGACTGTATACCATAAATTACACCGTTCATTTTGAAAGCCCTGTCTCCTAGACTGATTACCACAACTAATCAAAGGAAAATAATAAAAAAGAGAAACAGTCAGACGCAAAAAGTCATATAAATTTACTTATGCCATAGTGCTTAATATGAAGGGTTGGTTATCCTAGAGCGTATCATAAGTCAGCCACCACCGACGATATTTTCATGTCACTCGAAGGAAATCAAAATTTTTCGATTCTCAAAGAAAGCTAAGCTTCCAATCCTGCTCACGGCTATTTTGAGCAGTACTGCGAAATAAATGACAACGATAAATGCCGATTGTTTTTCAAACCTCACTTTTATACATTAACGACAATTCATTCAGCTATTTACACAATTGGTGTAAACTAGAGATGATAGGTGAAGGCGAAGTTTGAGGGATAGCCGGTACTGGGACAGTCGGTATACTGTTGCTAGTCACCGAATAATTGTCAGTATCGAACTTTGTGGCCATATCATCAAGTTACAAAACAACGAAAAAACAATTGCCGTCCCACGAAAAACGGCTTTTGTTAAACTAGCGCACAGTGCTCCTTGATATGAAATTCTGCACATTAAATACTTTGGGTTCAACTAGGATCGGTCCTAAATAAGGGGACATAATCGATTTTCAATATTTAAACAGCTTAACAACGCAACCCAGGACCAAAAGCCGCTTGATAAAGCTTGCGTTTGCATCGAAGAGGAAAATCAACCGATTAATGAGAAACAGTACGCCGTAGTATTTACATATTGGACATCATAAAAGGTTGGTAAGGTACAATATGTCTGAGCACTCAATGTAAATAGAGTTACTTAGTGAAAAAGGGGTAGAAAAATGGTGTATCCATCTAAAAACAGATTCCCGAATAGTATGGTAATGTATCGCATCGTGTGCAACTTTTGCAG